GCACCTCTGATGCTGCTTGGCCTGCTGTGTTCATCCAGCTCTACACCTTGTTATCTCAGATTCTCCAGCATCTGCAGTTCCTACTATCTCTGAGACTATAACCTGGTGTTGTGTGACTTCTGACTACGTCTTATGAGCTAAGATTGAGATTTAGTCAGACCTTCTATAAACCAGTGAGAAATGAGCAACCCCAATATAAAGCACAATGAATCAGCCAATCCCTTTGTGTCACAAACCAGACCAGGGAGTGCAGAATGATAGCTGGGCAGGCCCTTAGTAAATACAGTGAATCAGATGGACCATTAAAAAAAGTGACTGGATCAGACCTTTCCACTGAAAACATGTGCTAACAATTTTCATTCTATTCTTAAAACGATTAGGAATTATATATTTGGCCATGTTTTGTAACATGAAACTGCTGTGGGTTAATGTACAACCTTAATTGAAAACACATCAGAGAAATGTTGTAAGCTCTGAGACCACGAAACCTCAGCATCTGCAAAAAAAAAGAACAAAGCTAATTTGTGTCCACATTCTCTTCCTGTTTATCCAAACTTTATTTGATCATCTGTATTTACATGATTACAGAAAACAGCATTCTATTGAGATACAAACATTGGATGTGATCATCAAGTGAAAATTAAAGCCAACCCAAATCTCAGCTGTATATGTTTCTTTTTATCAATTTACACTGTGTGAGAAGGATAGGTTAAATCTACGGAGATGCTCAGTGCTCTGAAATTCTCATTGGTGTATTCTAATTTAAATTCTGCCAACCTACTCACAGAAGCTTCTTTTGTCAAATTGTAATCCTAATTTCAAATACGCTGCCACCTCTTTATGGTGAGAAAACAGCTCTCCTCAAAATAATTGCCCTTCATGCCCCCACATACAATACTCCCAGCTGAACATCTGTTGCTGTTGAGAATCTGGACCTTTCTTATATAATTTACAGCCACAACCTTGGCTAAGTGCCTTTAGGAATGAAGGCTTGAAAAGGACACATCCAACTCTGCTGATTTTCAGATCCCAATAGACTGCAGGTATGAAAATATATGTTGTTGCAGAGCATACTGCAAAGAAGCTTCAAGGGAAATGGAATTAGTTCTGATACCATGTGGAATGGCCCGCTTCACTTTCTTAAAAACTGAAGAGCATTATTTCTGTCTCCAACGTCACTCAGATTAGCAGTCCTCCCCTGTAAATGCATCAATTTGACAACACCAGCAAGTGAGAGGTTTAAAATCAGAACGAGCACATTCTCCCAGTGTATAACGAATCACATACTTGCTTTAGAAGGTTTAGTCTTTGTTTTTTGAATCCTCATACTCAATGTGATTGCCACTAAACATTGAAGCATCAACTTAATGATTTGCTAACAGCGGTGTCAAATGAAGTTGGTTCCTGCTGCACTTCAAGATCCAATTGTTGTGCATGTCCCTCCATTCAGAAGGTATTCCACTAACATGCAGCATGTTATTGATAGCAGGTATCAATAGCAGCTTGGTGGCCAGGACTATTTCTAGTGAGTGTGGTCGACGAAGCCGTCAGTGTATTAGCAACTGGAAGCCAAGTAATTCACAGTCAAGTTGGAAATTTCCAAAATCCATTCTCCGTTTACAGCCCGAGAAAGTGTACTTCACAGAACAGTCAGCTGCAAATTCTGCGAACTCATGTAAAGTGTTCCAATGGCATAGAGTCGTCGTTTGCAATAAAATTCCAATGAATTTCTAACGCTTAAAAATTATAATTTCAATCAAATTTTCCCTTGTACAATTGCCCAAACTTTGCGTCTGGACCAGTTCAAATCAGCACGTGCTGCTCCAAATATATGCAAATACAATCGTGCAGCAGGGAAGTCTCCTAGAGGGTGCTGCTTTAACCAATATATTCTTCACTGGAGGCTGTTTTATCTTTATGGAACCCATCATCATCGATCTCCCACTCGCAGTTATTATTTCAGCCTTCAACCGACCAACTGTAAACTCTGCCCCATGCATCACCCACAAATAGTTTAGCATGATTCCTGTAAGCAAAGAAGTCAGAGACTATTAGCAATTCCTGAACTCATCAAAGTGAATGATAGCCGTCTAGCAAAAAGGATTCATTTTATTTTCACTTGAAGCATGAATAAGTAGGCTGGGATTTCTAATGCTTTCACTTTTATAATCCAACAAATTAGCTCCACTCTAACCCCATGGAAGCATCCTTCATTATGCTGGTTTATGTAAATCTCAGCTATTTTCCATTTGGACTTTCCATTCTATATCATTTCCACAGCAACGTTTAAAATAAGAAACAAAGTTGGGAGGGGACTGGGACTGGGAAACCATAATGTGGTGTGAAGACCTCATCCATCACTTGAGACACTTAACAGACACAGCACAAAGACCAGACTGCATCTTCATTCAAGCACCACTATATAAAGAAGTGTCATTCTAAGCCAAGAATGCTGCTTAGCTGCCTGACCATTGAACTTCTGTAGCTGTCCAACTGCCCAATCATTCCCACCCTGTGGCTATTTAGTGGGTGCTGAGCCACAGAGGCCAGAAGGGTCCCACAACGTGTTGCTTTTGTTGGCCCAGGGTGGGCCAGCTGAAGGGATGGTATCATTAACCTCAGTACTCCGGAGATAGGAGATCAGCTGAGATTTGCGAACTGCTCCCTGGTTGACATGGCGAGTGCAGGATGAGGGTGGCATCAGATGGTAGTCATTCAGCCCCCGCAAGCTCCATGTGAAGACGTTACTTTGTGTGCAGTGTCAGAGGCATCCCGCATCATGATCAATCCTAGGAAAGCCGCTGGACTAACGAGGATTGTGATGGGGGGGGGGGGGAAATCACAGCGAAAGCAAGAATCCCACTCTCTTTGAAAACTCTGTGCAGCTTTTGTTTTAATCTCTCCATCTGCCTCTACGCTCCCAGATGTTTAACCGCCTCCTTGTTTAGCAGTTCGTTTTAAGCCGGCAGGACATCTCCAATTTCCCCCTCCTTTGCATTAGGCTTTTTTCTAAAAGAGGGAAGGATTTGGACACTTAAAACTAAAAGGTGGCCACGCCCAGCAGAATATACTGTGTGTAAATTGTTCGAAATGACCCAGCTGTGCATTCCGTTTTTGACTTCAAATAATTCAAAAGAACTAAAGAAACACCAATTATGGTGTAAGAGCCGGAAGAATTGCTGGTTGTTGTAAATCAGAAACAAAACACAGAAACTGCTGGAAAAGCTTAGCAGGTCTGCCAGTCTCCACAAATGCTGCCAGACCTGCTGAGCTTTCCCAGTACTTTCTGTTTTTGAAACAATTACATTAGATCATAGAATCCCTACAGTGTGGAAACAGGCCCTTTGGCCCAACAAGTCCACACCAACCCACAGAGCATCCCACCCAGACCCATCCCCCTATAAACCCACCTAATCTCGGGCGGCACAGTGGCTCAGTGGTTAGCACTGCTGCCTCACAGCGCCAGGGACCCGGGTTCGATTCCACCCTCGGGCGACTGTCTGTGTGGAGTTTGCAAGTGCTCCCCGTGTCTGCGTGGGTTTCCTCCAGGTGCTCTGGTTTCCTCCCACAGTCCAAAGATGTGTAGGCTAGGTGAATTGGCCATGGAAAATTGCTCATAGTGTTCAGGGACATGTAGATTAGGTGGGTTATAGAAGGATGGGTCTGGGTGGGATGCTCTGAGAGTCAGTGTGGACTTGTTGGGCCAAAGGGCCTGTTTCCACACTGTAGCAATGCTATGATCTATGATAACACATCCCTGAGCATGGTCAATTCACCCTAACCACACATTTTTGCACTGTGGGAGGAAACCCATGCAGACACGGGGAGAATGTGCAAACTCCACACAGAGAGTTGCCCGAGGGTGGAATTGAACCCGGGTCCCTGGCGCTGTGAGGCAGCAGTGCTAACCACTGAACCACCATGTTCTGAACAAAGCTAAGCTCCACTTTGGCGTTATAGAGGGCATGTGGAATTCTCCACCTAACACCTGTCAAACTGGGCGATAAACTTTTCCCGGGGATTTTTATGCAGGATATAGGTTACAGCACTGATCGAAATGACACTCAGCTCCCGAGACTGCTGTGTAGTTGTGATCACTGGCTCAGAAGTACACCTTCCACTGGGGAACGTTCTCCAAACACTCAAAGCACCAGCATGATACCTGGAGATGCCTAGAGCTGTGACTGCAGGACTCCTTTGGTTCTGTTTCCCCGCGGGTGCAGTGCTTCTGCTCAGCTCTTGACAAAGGACCAGGTGCCGTTCCCATTTGTAACCTGTGGTGGAGGGAATATTAAAAGCCATGGTCATTACTTTGGGGAAATGTGCCAGTCAAGTAGATGTCTTTTTAATGGCAAACAGGTAGCAGTCACGGTAAACATCCAGGGTTAATCCAGCATCTGCAGTTCCTACTATCTCTGAAACAGGGTTAATCTCTGTCTGTCCGGTAATATGAGGGCATGTCCCAATTTAATTAAATTTTAATCATGCTGTTCAGCGAAGCTGAGCTCTAATCAGGAATTCAGACTTGTGCATTATTAAATGCCTTCTAACTTGCACGGTTAGGTCAGCAGTGACTCATCCTTGCTTGAATGTATCTGACATCTCTCTTTGCTATTGATCTCCATGGCTAAACAAACAATTGCATGCAGTTAAACAATAAGAGCCAGAGCAGCTATTTTCCTGTTCTGAGCTCCAACTCTGCTCGAAACTATGCAATGATAATTGAGGCCATAATTACCTACAACAATGGAGGAAATTACTATTTAAATCCCAGACACATACCATCGCACAAGGTACTTGAAGCCTATAATTACCTCTTATCTTCTGTTTGTAAAAGGAAAAACAAGGTTTGCAGACATGGAGATGCAATGTGATTGTCAGCCCGCACAAAGTCGTTTTACTTGTGGCATTCAAGCTTAACCAGCATGCCTGCATTTTGATTTTAAATGTTATGATTTTCCAACGTGAGCAATTACTCAACTAACAAGGTGGTAGGATAACACAGGGCCTGCCCATGCTGCTCCTGAGCACCCTCACCTGATGGTGGGCAATTATGGTCCTGGTTGGCATAGCACCCCATCCCCACTGTGTGCCCGTGTGTGAGATCAATTATCCAAGAGTGTGCACTTTCGGGGAGATCTGCAGGCATTGCGTTGCTCTATGGTCTGGTCACTTGATAACAGGTTTGAAGGGAAACAGAATCATTTGCGACAGACTTGTTTGATGGGTGTATGGAAGCCTAACCTGCTCCCAGGCTGATTTTAAGGAGCTGTGAATGGCGAGCTTCAGTTTGTCGGAAAAGGGAGAAATAAATTAGCCGGGGGTATCTGCTCCTGTTCACTATCCTAGTGTCTACTGGGACACTGAATTTGGGATGTGGGGATGGGGTGGGAAGGTGGAATTCAGATGGATCAGTTATCTCACTTAATGGAAGTGCAAAAAGAAATGGTCTTCTTATTTTCTGTTGGATGGTGCTTATGTTTTAACAGGAGGTGGCGATGGCCTAGTGGTATTATCACTGGACTGTTAATCTAGAAATCCAGGTAATCTGATCCATGACAGATATGGAATAAATACAGAAGTAAGAGTTGAATGATGACCATGAATCCGTTGTTGGGAAAAACCCACTAATGTCCTTCAGGGAAAGAAACTGCCATCCTTACCTGGTCTGGCCTACTGTGACTCCAGACCCATAGCAATGTGATTGACTCTTGACTGCCCTCTGGGCAATTAGGGATGGGTGATAAATGCTGGCCCAGTCAGTGACGCCCTCATCCCATGAATAAATAAAAAAAAGTCGGGCAAGAACAGGCATTGATTCTAATGCCCTTTGTAGGTGAACATTTTGCTGATATTCTAGTTCCATCCACGGAAAAGAGTCAGCAAATTGTCCTGGGAGACTGTGGTAAGATGTGGAAAGGTAACTAAACATATAGTGCCACATGCCAAAAAGTGGGACAAGGAGAGAAAATATAGCTGGGCAGATAGGGCTGGGGGTGTGGGTCACATTTTGAAGGAAGTGTGATAAACATGTCTCAATGCAGTGCTCTGTATGAGCTACTTGTTGTTAGTACCAGAATATGGGAAGGGTGATGGGCGTCATGAGGAAACAGTCAAGGCAATGCTAAACCTTCCTAAACTCTGTGCCAACTTCCACAATGGATGTCCTTTGAGTCAGGAAGGAAAAGGCACATCATGCAGTTTCTCAAGGTCTGATGCAGATCTGCTTGGGTATGAAGTGTGACGAGTTTCCCCAAGTGTTCAAGCTTTCCATATGAGAAAAGAAAGTCAAACGTAGAAATTATTGTTGCAGGTATTGGTTATCAAGTGGAATTAATTCAGCTCACACTCCCCATTCATTATTCACATAAGAGACATTACACACAGTAAATAAAAGGGATTAATAGCTCAATTAAAACCAACCAGAGAAATACACAAGTAGTTTGTGTGTATAAAACACAGGAACTTTAAATGATTAAAGATCAAGGCGCATTCAGTTTGTCTTCTACCATTCTGATACTTGTATAATACAATAACAATTATGTCAGTAATTATAGGAATCTGTCTTATCAACTTTTGTTCCACTCACTTGTGGGATCTGGGCCAGCGTTTATTGCCCATTCCTAGTTGGCCTTGAGAAGGTGATGGCGAGCTGCCTTCTTGAAATGCTGCAGTCCGCACATTGTAGGTGGACCCTCAATGCTATTAGGGATGGAATTCCAGGATTTTGACCCAGTGACAAGTCAGGATGGTGTGTGCCTTGGAGGGGGACTTGAAGGTGGTGGTGTTCCCATGTGTCTGCTGCCCTTCAACTTCCAGACACACGTAGCTGCAAGTTTGGAAGGTGCTGTCTGAGGATCTTTGGTGAACTTCTACAGTGCGTCACATAGATGGTACACACTGCTGCTACTGAGCATCAGTGGTGAAGGGAGTGGATGCTTTATGAGGTTTGAGTCATGTGGACTGCTTTCTCCTGGATGGTGTCAAGCTTCTTGAGTGTTGTTGAAGCAGCACTCGTTCAGGCAAGTGGGAAGTATTCCATTACACTCCTGACTTTTGCCTTGTAGATGGTGAACAGGCTTTGGTGATTCAGGAGGTGTGTTACCCTTGGCAGAATTCCTAGCCTCTGACCTTCTCTTGTAGCCACTGTGTTTTTGTGGCAAGCTCAGTTCAGCTTCTGATCAATGGTAACTCCCAGAATGTAGAAAGTGGGAGATTCGGTGATGGTTAACACTATTGAATGTCTTTGGGTGGTGGTTAGATTGTCTCTTACTGGAGATGGTCATTGCAAGGCATTTGTGTGGTGTGAATGTTACTCTGAAACAGACCCAGATTTGAAAGGAGGAAACTCCCATGTTGGAGGAGCTCTGTGAATCCTAGATCCAAAATTACCTATCCCTCCTAATGTTCCACTCAGCACACGTTATACTTCAAATTATTCCTGTGCACTGAATGCCAAAATATTACTTACAGAAAGAAAAAGAGCTAATTTGTTTTTGAATGAATCAATATTATCAGCTTTCACCATCTCCTACGGGAGCCGGTTCCATAGACTGACCACTCACTCACTTTACTAAAATGTTTTGATACATGAGTTCTGTTTTTAACCCTCTTCAAATTCAGGCTATATCTACCACTTCTAATTTTCTCGTCGGACTGAAACAATTACACTGTTCTACATTATCCAGTTGAACCCACTAGCACCTGTAGCAACACACACCCTTATGTGATTGTTGCTTACTGTGTCGTCATTAGAGGCTGATTTTAGAATCATTTTCTGTTTCTAGATGTTGCTCCCAATTATCTGACAATAGACAATATATCTTTAGCCAATTTCCAGACAAGTTCTGCGCTGTTGTACAATTCCCCAGCACACACTTCTGTTCAGTTACTTATTTATAATTGATGACCTTTCTTACTGTGCACTTTTAACAGATCGACTAATGTTGTAACTTGAAATGAACATATAGATTTTTATGCTGCGATTTGTTGTATATTCTTGTAACACAATTAACTGCCTCTGGGCTGGTTTATAGGGTTTTTCCAAAGGAACCTAAACTCCAGGCTCAAGTTTAGCTGGAGTTGAAATTTGAAGTCAGTAATCTTTGGTTTCTTTGAAGTGTTTAAAAATGCACTGTGCTTGCGTGGTTGTGTGTTAGTGCAAGAGCCTAAATTGAGAGCAGTGGCAACCTATCAACTGTAGAGGGCGTCACAGCTGAAGCTGATCACATCTTCATCCAACACTTACACTGTGACGCTTTCTGGGAGATGGGATGTGGCGATTGGAGGAGTGAGAGTATGTTTGTGTATGTGTGTGTGGGGGAAACAGCTCAATGCTGATCTTAACCTAGAGACGCTTTGATTCATCTGAGCCCAGTGGAGGTCAGGGATTGAACCTGGTAACTTGGATAGAGGACTGGTTAACCAATAGAAGGCAGAGAGTTGGGATAAATGGGTGTTTCTCTGGTTGGAGATCAGTGGTGAGTGGAGTGGCGCAGGGGTCAGCGTTGGGCCCGCATCTGTTCATGATGTATATAAATGATTTGAAAGAGGAGACCGAGTGTGACGTATCTAAGTTTGCTGATGACACTAAATTGAGTAAAAAGGCAAATGGTGCAGAGGATGTTGAGGGTCTGCAGAGAGATTTAGATAGTTTAAGTGGGTGGGCAAGGGTCTGGCAGATGGAATACAATGTTGGTTACTGTGAGGTCATCCACTTTGGAAGTAAAAATAGTGGATCAGATTATTATTTAAATGGTGAAAGATTGCAGCATGCTGTTGTGCAGAGAGACTTAGGACTGCTTGTACATGAATTGCTAGAGGTTGGTTTACAGGTGCAACAGGTAATCAGGAAGGCAAATGGAACATTGGCTTTCATTGCTACAGGGATTGAATTCAACAGCAGGGAGGGTCTGCTGCAATTGTACAAGGTGCTGGTGAGGCCGCACCTGGAAATATTGTGTGGATTTCTGGTCTCTGTACTCGAGAAAGGATATACTGGTTTTGGAAGCGGTACAGAGGAGGTTCACCAGGCTGATTCCAGAGATGAAAAGGTTACCCTATGAGGAGAGGTTCAGCTCCCTGTGACTGAACTTGCTGGAATTTAGAAGAATGAGAAAGGATCTTATAGAAACATATAAACTTATGAAAGGGATAGATAAGATAAAGGCAGGCAAGTTGTTTCCACTGGTGGGAGAGACTAGGACTAGGGGACATAGCCTCAAGATGAGGGAGTAGATTTAGGACAGAGATGAGGAGGAACTGCTTTTCCCAGAGAGTAGTGAATCTATGGAATTCTCCGCCCAAGGAAGCAGTAGAAGTAGCTTCATTAAATATATTAAAGACACAGTTGGATGGATTTTTGCATGGTAGGGTGATTAAGAGTTCGGAGGATAATGCAGGTGGGAGGTGCTGAGACCATGGATAGATCAGCCATGATCTTATTGAATGGCAGAACAGGCTTGATGGGCCAAATCACCTACTCCTGCTTCTAGCTCTTATGAACTTACGAACTTTGGTCCAAATATGCCACATCCTTCTGACTGAGGGACCACAGACTAACATTTTGATTCTTTGTTTCCAACTACAACATGGGAAGTTGGAGGTACGTTAGGTTGCTGCAGATGAAAGCAAATGCCATGCTATTATCTGCTGCTTCTTCCTGGCTGCCCTCGAACTGGGTGGCTCTCTAGGTCATTTCTAAGGGAAGATAAGAGTCATTGCTGTGGATATGGAGCCAATTGTAGAGTGAGCCTAGGTAAGGATGGCCATATCCTTCCTTAAATGGACATTAGTGAATGAAGATCAACAATGGTTACGTGGTCATTACGCTAATCATTCATCCATGGTTTTTAATGAATTCAGATTTCACCGTAAGCCATGGTGGAAAATGAACCCATGACCCAGAGCTGGCTCTCTGGATTGATTACTAGTCCAGTGGCATTACCACCACCTCCCCAACTTCCGGGGAAAGGAAGAGGAGCAATAATACAGCAACACATTCCAGAAATAAACATTACTCAAAAAATACAAAAGAAAAAAACCATTTCTTGAAAGTGATGGAGATGGAACGTGTGTTGTGTGACATTTTGTTAGTAATGAACCATGCCCAGTGGGCACTACAGGGACTGTAGCATTTGTTGGATACTAGCAATATTATTATAAGCTTATAGATTCCCATTTTCTTTTTGATTTGTAGCTTAGTTCTTGGTTGTTCCCCGCTTTTAGGTTCAATGATACCAAGGCAGTATCTCACACAGCAATAAGTCAACACAGCCAATATTTAAAATCCTTGCTCAGTACTTCAAGGACAGAAGTCATCAGGCATGTGGACATGTTGCCATGCAAACCAGTAACTCATCTGCAAATTCTCTCCACTTCTGTGTCAAACTAGAGTGACAGTCTGTGGAGGGTAAACTATCACATACGATGTGGTTGTTGTGCCCGGTGAGTAAGACACATGCCACGTAAATGTTACCATTCTTTTCTGCTGGCCTTCCTCCATCATTCTTGGTTACTTGCAATCTTCGAAACTCTGTCTTCCACAGCTGTAAATTGGAAATAATCCAGAATGTTATGAACTTTCTCCTTAAGACTTGCAACAAAAACAAACCACGCTGCCTGAGGGGCTCAGGAGTTAGCACTGCTGCCTCACAGCAACAGGGATCCAGGATCGATTCCAGCCTCAGGCAAATCCTTTCTTCATTCACGGGATGAGGGTGTCACTGGCCAGGCCAGCATTTATTGCCCATCCCTAATTGCCCAGAGGGCAGTTAAGATCAACCACATTGCTGTGGGTCTGGAGTCACATGTAGACCAGACCAGGTAAGGATAGCAGTTTCCTTCCCTAAAGGGCAATAGTGGACCAGATGGGTTTTTCCAACAATTGGCAATGGATTCATGGTCATCATTAGACTCTTAATTCCAGATATTTATTGAAATCAAATTCCACCATCTGCCATGGCGGGATTTGAACGTAGATCCCCAGAACATTATCTGGTCTCTGGATTAACAGTCCAACGATAATACCACTAGGCCTTCGCCTCCCCTGTGGAGTCTGCACATTCTCCCTGTGTTTGCGTGGGTTTCCTCCAGGTGCTCTGGTTTCCTCCCACAGCCAAAGCTGTGCAGGTTAGGTGGATTGGCGTTGGGAAATGCAGGGTTACAGGGGTAGCGTAGGGGGTGGTTCTGGGTGGGATGCTCTTTGGAGAATCGGTGCAGACTTGATGGGCCAAATGGCCTGTAGGGAATCTTTGAGCTAACCACAAAACCAGCCAGCCAATGGCATGCTGTTTGGCAACACCTCCGATAAATAAGTCGGCAGCAATTTCTTCATCCAAAGGGGATTGTGGGGCTTGCTGAATGGAGGCAAATCACCGATGATGCCTTTACAGAAAAGCTGCATTAGTACATGAGGAAGAAAGGAATAGAAGGATATGTTGATGGAGTTAGGAAGAAGGAAGTCTGGATGGATACTCTCATGGTTCATAAACACCAGCAGACAGCAGTGGGGCTGAACGGCCTGTTGCAGTACTGTAAATTCAATGTACAAAATGAAAGAACTAATTGGAGGGACAAGGCCTATCAATGAACCAAGGTTGAAAACAGTAGAGAAATTCCACTACCTCAAAACCATCACGGACACTTTCTTTGGGTTTAGAAGTCCAAGGATTGCAGAAGAACAGGGAAACAAGCCAAGGAATTTCAATGGGTTGAGAGGTCTCCGGAAAAAAAAACAGAGGACAGAGCAACCAAACGACATTTGAAAATGCTGAGGATGGAGGGAAGAGAAAGAACCATCCATCGCATTTCACTCCATTGACACACAGGAATGTTCCTATCAAATTAATCCTGTTCAGTAAGGAATACAACATTGGGGTAAAATACTAGGTGAACACAGTGAGACAGAGAAAGGTTCAAAAAGGAACCTTTACACAAAGATGCACCAACTGTCCAAATCAGTTGTTTAACGTTTCAATACTCACTTGTTTTAAATTTGAGTAAGGCAATTTGTACGGAAGACTAATAAAGCACGTGCTTCGGGTTGTGCTCTGTTCTCTGCGTAAGGCAAAACAATTCCAAAAATTGTTCATTAAAGAATTATAAGAAACAAAATCAATTATCTATTTGTCCAACGCATTAGCAACGGAACAGGTTTCAACTATTGTTCTTCGCATTTATCTTCCTCATTTGTAAAAGCTAAATAATATGTGGGAAGATGGCTATGGGCTGTGTATGGGTCACACAATATTTGTTCAGTGTAAATTGTCCTTTTTCTGAATAAGAGAATGTGCTCTAAATGGGAAGAGAAACTACAGAAAGGTAACACAGAGAGTCTGCAGAGTGCTAAGAGACCTGGCTCAGTGCAGACCCGGTACGGAACAGAGCAGCTACACAGAATCCATGCCCCTCTAAGGGTTGTATGAAGCCAAGGCTGAGATTCGTGTGATTGGAGAGTGGAGGTTCCTGTTCTTAACCCTCAGGCTAGAGAATCATATTTCACCATTGCCATTCCAGGAGCACTTATCGTGAAATTTTCAAACCAAGGTCTTGATATTGTGGACAGAGCAATGGTAACTTACACAGGGAATTCCAAACGAGACGGCAGCCACAGGGCAGTGGGATTGAGGGGCACTGGCTTTGTAAGGAGGAAAAATCCAAAGTCTCCATTTCCAAACGACACCCAGCACTTCCTCCAACTGCGTTAGTGAGTGTGAACATTAACGTAGACAGTATCATATGAATTATGAGCAGAAACAGGCCAATCAGCCCCCTCAAGCCTGCTCCACCATTCAATAAATTGATGGCTGACCTAGTTACTCCACATTCCCACCTCGTCTGGATTACGTTGCATCCCCTTGATTGTCAAGGATCTAAGTGCCTCTGTCTTAAAAATATTCAAAAACTCTGCTTCCATTGTCTTTTCAGGAGGAGAGATCAAAAAGCACAATTGTTTGCGAGAAAAGGATCTCACCTTCTTAATGGGGGACCCCTGAATTTGTAAACAGCAAGTGATTCACTCACAGGAGGATAAATGCTGTCCACCTCCACCCTGTCAAGACCAGTCGTGATTTCTGTGCTTGAATTAAGTCTCCTTTGACTCTTTCAAACTCCAGCAGATACAAGCCTAGCTAGCGTGTCCAAACTTTCCTCAAAAAACAACTCGCTTATTCCAGGTAGTAGTTGTGTAGACCTCTGAAGTGTTTGCAAGGCATTTACAACCTTGGTTCATCTGTGATGCTTTCTATAGTTGACTTTAAGCTCTTGCATACTGCTACTCTCAGGATACCACCTTCCTTTAGGCTGGGAGAGGAGGGAGAGACATTCCCAGGAGAAAATGACACGAAAACCCTGGTGCGCAGGCCTACTTGACCTTTTGACACTATGTCATGTTGAGCAAAACGCGCCCGCTCTTTCCCCGCTGCTGGTAACACTTACCCGCACTATGCCATTAGCACATCCTGTCACGACAACATTGCGTGAGTCCCATTCATGGACCTCAGTGAAGCAGCAGCACAGAATCCCCTCTGTTGGATCCAAGGACGTGTTGACGCTTACGATTGGTTGCCCATTGATTGTCCACAGGTAGAGGAAGGTCCCTGCACAAGAGGCAATGTCACCCTGAAGTAACAGAATGGGGATCGGTGAGCTGACTGAACACCTGCACTACATGGTTACACAGGGAGCAGGAACATTCTCAAATTCCACTCCCCCTGCCCCTTTTATCCCGATTGTGCGACTCTTGGTACAATACAATAGCTCAATGGGAAACCACAGTTCTACCAGGTTTCACAAACTATCACACATCACTGGCCCCCACACTCCCTGGCCCCATTGCCCCACAAAGCCTCAGGCAAATGCTTGCTCTTCAAGGATGAGTTCGAACCAGTGAATGTCCAACCATGAGGTGTGAGCACAGCCTAATCTTATTTACCAAGGAGCATCCACCTTCCTGTCAGGCAGAGTTCAGGAGAGCTTGGATGGAGGCTTTGAGAATGATGCAAGGTTTTGGTTGTGTAAATAAGGGCCAAATTTTCACACACCGAGTTCTTGTGATCTGAAATGCACGGCCGAAGAGGGAGGTAGATCCAACAGTAGCTTTCAGAAAGGAATTGGATAAATACTTAAAAAAAAAAATATTTACAAGGCTATAGAGAAAACATTACCAACAGTAGAAATGAGCCTCATGTAAGACAGTAAGGAAGCAAAGTTAACCAAACTCAGTGGGTGACAAACCCACCAGATCAGGTAGAAAACTGATTTTCCACCTGTTCACTATTACTTTTTGATATCAATGAAGACTAAAATAGGCTAGGTTTTGTACTGAAAGGTGTATAATATTTTAATTTTTTTTAAAATTCATTCACAAGATGAGGGCATCACCAGCTCAGCCAGCATTTGTTTGCCATCTCTATTTGCCCAGCTGCCAGCTCAGAGTCAACCACATTGCTGTGGGTCTGGAGTCACATGTAGCCAGACCAGGTAAGGATGGCAGTTTCCATCCCTAAAGGACATAAGTGAACCAGAGATAGTAAGAACTGCCGATGCTGGAGTCAAAGATAGCACAGTGTGGAGCTGGAGGAAAATCAGCAACGGATTCATGGTCATCATTAGACTCTTAATTCCAGATTTTTACTGAATTCAAATTCCACCATCTGCCATGGCAGGATTTGAACCGGGTCTCTCTCTTTACACACAAGATGATCAGAGGATTAGATAGGGTGGACAGTGGGAGCCTTTTTCCTCGGATGGTGATGGCTAGCACGAGGGGACATAGCTTTAAATTGAGGGGTGATAGATATAAGACAGATGTCAGAGGTAGGTTCTTTACTCAGAGAGTAGTAAGGGCGTGGAATGCCCTGCCTGCAAAAATAGTAGACTTGCCCACTTTAAGGGCATTTAAATGGTCATCGGATAAACATATGGATGATAATGGAATAGTTTAGGTTAGATGGGCTTCAGATTGGTTTCACAGGTCGGCGCAACATCGAGGGCCGAAGGGCCTGTACTGCGCTGTAATGTTCTATCTTCTATGTTCTCTTATAACAGTGCAGCTATAATACCACTGGGACATCACCTCATTTTTGGAATTTGCATTTCAAAATAACTATGCCTGCGAAATAACGAGATGGAGAAACAGAAAATTACAATGAGGCAATAACAATGAGAAACTGACACTACATGATGTGATCCTGAATCTAAACTTCAAGAAACATAGCTCCTACATCATAAATTAAAACAGAAAATGCTGGAAATACTCAACAAGTCTGGCAGCTTCAGTGGCGAGAGAATAAAAACGCTTAATGTTTCAGGTCTGTGACCTTTCACTAGCTCCCACGTTAACCATAAATACCCAACGAGTAAGTGGAATCAACTGTGGCTAATAAAAGAAGGCAAAGACTGCATTACATCAAAGGATGTATGTTATAAAGATGCCAAAATAAGTGCTAAGCCTCAGGACTGGGAGCAATTTAGAACCTAGTAGACGATGTCCAAGAAACTGGTTTAGAAAGGGAGAAAAGAACGCGAATGAAAGCTAGCATGAAACATAAAAGCAAACTGTAAAAACCTCTTTTGATAACGAAGAAAGTACCTAGGATAAATATAGGCCAATCATAGGTGGGGACAGGAGAATTTATAGAGGAGAGCAAGGAAATGGTAGTGAAGCTAATTAATTATACTGCATAACTCGCAGAGGAAGGTACAGAAAAGCTCCCAGAAATATTCGGCAACCAAAGTACTTGTGAAATTGAAGAATTGGAAGAAATCAATGTTAGAAAAGACATACTTCTTGAAAAGTTAATTGTAATTGAAAGTTAATAAATCCCCTGGATTAGATATGCTGCACCCTAGGTGGCATGGTGGCTCAGTGGTCAGCACTACTGCTTCACATCATTAGGGACCTGGGTCCAATTCCAGCCTCAGGCAACCGTCTTGAGTGGAGTTTGCACATTCTCCCTGTGTCTGCGTGGGTTTCCTGTGTGGGTGCTCTAGTTTCCTCCCACAGTCTAAAGATGTGCAAGTCAGTGGGATTGGCCATGCTAAATTGCCCATAGTGTGCAGGGTAGGTGGATTAGCCATGGGAAATGCAGGGTCACAGGGATAGGGTGGTCTGGGTGGGATGCTCACCAGAAGGTTGGAGTGGGTTGAATGGCCTGCTCCCACACTGTAGGGATTCTATAATTCCAGATTGTTGAAGAATGTGTTTATAGGGATAGTGAATGCATTGGCAATTACCTTTCAAAATTTTATAGATTCTGGAAAGGTTTCTGCAGATTGGGAAGTAGCAAATGCAACCCCACTATTTAAGATTGGAAGGAATGGGACAGTGGAGAACTAAAGACTTTTTAGTTTGATGTCGTAATAAGGAAAATGTTGAAACCTATTATAAAGGATGTGAGAATTAGCACTTAGAAAATGATGGTAAAATTAGCAGAGCTGACACGGATTTATAAAAAGGAAATCATGTTTGAGAGTCTTGGAGTTTTTGAAGATGTTAATTTTAATATAGATAAAGGCGAACCTGTGGATGTGGTGTACTTGGATGCTCAGGGGCTTTTGATGAGGTTCCAAACAAAAACTTAGCAAACAAAATTAGAGAAAACAGAGTAGGAAAAATGGATTCCTCTCAGGCTAGCAGGCTGTTGCTACTCAGGTAGCTCAATGGTCAGGATCATGACAACAGCTGCATAAATGATTTGGATGTGGGAACTCATTGTAATATTTTAAATATTCTGGTGACAAAATGAAGGTTGTGAGGAGGGTGCTGGGAGGCCTCATTGAACTTGGACAGGGTAAGTGGATGGACACGGATATGACAGATAGCGTATAATGTAAATCAGTATGAAGTTATCCACTTTGGTAGAAAGGCATAGAATGCCTTCAGTGTGGAACCAGGCTACTCTGCCCATTGAGTTCACACTGACCCTCTGACGAGCATCCCGCCCAGACCCATCTTCCCCTAGCCTTATTCATTGTAATCCTGCATTTTCCATGACTAATCTACCTAACCTACACATCTCTGAACACTATGGGGCAATTTAGCATGGCCAGTCCATGTAGCCTGCACATTTTTGGACTGTGGGAGGAAACCGGAGCACCCGGGGGAAACCCACACAGACACGGGGAGAACGTGCAAACTTCACACAGACAGTCGCCCGAGGCTGGAATTGAACCAAGAGGCCTGACGCAGTGAGGTAGCAGTGCTAACCACTGAGTCACCGTCTTGCCCCAGAAAAACAGAAAAGAAGAATAATTCTTAAATGGTGAGAGGTTGGGAAGTGCTGGTATACAAAAGGACTTGGGTATCCTTATTCATGAGACACTAAAAGCTAACATGCTGGTGCAACAATCAATACATAAGGTAAATGATACACTGACCTTCAAATCAAGGGAATTAAAGCACAGGAATAAGGATAAAAACAATTAAAGATTTCCAGTATCCACAATATTTTGCCTTTATTACAGTGGGTAAAAATATTTGTTTCAACTGTATAGAGACTTGGTGAGGTAACTCCTGGAATACTGTCTACAGTTTTGGTCTCCTTATCCAAGGAAGGATAAAAAGGAGTGCAACAGACGTTCACTAGATTAATTCCTGGGATGGTGGGATTGCCTTACGAGCAGAGAATGAAGAAACGGAACCCGTGTTCTCTAGAATTTTGAAGGAATGAGTTGATCTAATTGAAACTTACAACATTCTTACAGGGCATGACAGGTTGAACATAGATAAGATAATGCCAGGCAATGACCATCACCATTAAGAGGCAATCTAACCGCTGCCTCATCCAGCAGTTTAGTGATCAATCCTAATTTTATTGTAATGTCTCTGGCAGTGCTGAAACTCAAATACTGCTGAAAAAAAAAATATGCAGGCTGGGTGGGTTAGCCATGGGAAATTCAGGGATAGAGTAGGGGGTTGGGTTTGGGTGGGATGTTCTTCAGAGGGTTGGTGTCGACCCAATGGGCTGAATGCCCTGCTTCCACACTATGGAAACTCTATGATTCTAAGAAAAGTCAGATGCTGTCAAAAGTTTTGATCTTGTACTCACCAGGGCAAAAGCAAGGACACCAAGTGTCGGGTGGAACAACAATTTACACCACATAAGAAATAGAGTGCTGATTGGTTGGCAAATGGACTCTCGATTGGTTGGGGCATTGCCATGGGGAGTGCAACAGAGGACAGTGTCTGCCAAGCTTTGGTTTGATTGAAAAGTGCAATGCCTGAACAAATTCCTTTTGTCTACAGAGCACCAGGCCCTCTGTATGATATAAACATTAGATTCCTTCAGGACTACACTAAATTGTCATCCTATATTATATTCTTCTGCCCTGGAGTGGGGCTTCAAGTCACATCCTCCCTGATTCAGATGTAAGATTATTGTCATTAAAGCCAAGCAAAGTCATGCTTATTTTGCATAGACAGGCTTTATAGAAATGGAACAATGGTATCTGGAGTATAAATTCACAAATTATTAATAATAGGAACACAAGTTAACTTGGGCCAGAAAAAATACAAACAAAGCGCTTAAGTTTATTTCCCTAAGAATATAGTTGAAATACAGGAAATTTATGTTAAATTTGTTTGTTTAACCACACTTGGACTAATCCCGCAGTCCTGGTTTCCAATTTAAACAAAAGACCCAGAACTACTGAAGAAGGTGCAAAAAAAAAAAAAATTGGCAAGGATAATACCAGAACTGACAGGGTATAAGTGTCTCAGAAGACTGAACACGTTGGTGCTGTTTTTACCGGAAAAGAGAAAGTAGAGTGGTAACCAAAATACAGGTTTTTATAATTACAAAGCAACGAGTTACAATAGATGTAGGGAAATTGTTTCTACTTTATTGGGAAGTCAGAAACTAGAGAACATAAACATAAGAGAATCATAAAAAAATTCAATGGGGGATTTAGGAGCAATTGTTTACATAGGAGGTTGGTCAGGAGTTTATTTAGTCCTGGTTTCTTTCAAGAGAGAGACTGAACAAGAGGTATGGAACTGGCTACTGAAGACCACTTGAGCAAACATTTTAGGAGGCCTTGGGTTTTTGTATAAATGCAGAATAAATGGGTGTGGCCAGTTTTCACAGATTAGGATTTCTGGGTTTTGTTTTTTTTTTCAGGTGCATCAGAAGCAGATGGGGTCTCAACAGAGTTGGAAGCTTCAGTGAAAGTCTCCTGGCTGCTACTCCCTCTGAATTTTCTCTTGATTTTTTTCCTCCTGATTGGAGAACTGCATATGAGAATCTGCATCTGAATTTTCCTTTTTTGCCAAGGGGTGTATGTATGGGATGATACTATAATTAGTAATTGTTACCGTATCTATTATTTTGTTAAGTTTTCCAATTGAGTTAAGTTATACTAAATTCCTCTTTCTTTGGTTGTATTTTAAATAAATTATGCTGCTTAATGTCAAGTAGTTTGACCATTTCATCTGGAACAGACACTTTACATTTAACTTTAAAATAAGAAAAAGTTAGTTCTAGGTTACCTTCTTAAAATATTTTGAGAGGGCCTGGTATGGTCCATAATAGTTAGACTACAGAATTTATTATCACATGGAGTAGTTGAAGTGCAGATGCATTTAAGGGAAAGCTAGATGAGCTCATGAAGGAGAAATAATAGGACATGCAAATAGGGTTAGACTAAATAAGATGAGAGAAGCTTTCATGGCATACAAACACTGGCAGACCTCTTAGAGCTCATGATATCATCATTTTGTCATAGCAAATGACCAGAGCTTATAATGGCTACTCCACCTTACCTCAGACTTGAAGTCTGACATACTCCATGCTAGCTCTGCTGTAAGTGAACAGCTTAATGTCAGCTCAGACACTGGGATGTTTGGGGAATGCAATCCTTGTATAAAATAGTTAGCTTGTCATAAACATCTGCTGAATTTTTCAATATCACAACATCTACACTTAGTTTCTTATGCTGCAGAAGATAATGTCAGTGTTGCTGCATCAGGTAAAACAGCCAGTTGGAAGTAAACCCATATCAGCTAATAGCCACTTTCTGTGCTTTCATAGTAAAACTCCCTTCTGACAGTGCGAGATAGGACAATGAGAGTGATCCTAATATTCTTCTGGCACATGCACTCACGAGAAGAAAAGTCTGTCAGAGAGAAATGGATTCTGCTTTCAGGAGATAGGACAGTCACAAGGATAGATTGTGGAGTTTATCACCTTTTTCATTGGCTATTATACATTGCAACTTAAAGGGATATAATGAAGTGTTTATTCATGATTTTCAGCCCTTTCTTTATTTCTATTTCTGTTTTGAATCAAAATTCTGCCATTTTCTCCATTGTTCTTTTGTTTCTTTCTCAACCATTAAATCTAACTGGTTAAAGAGATTGTTGGTCATTTATATGTCAATCCGGGGTGAGTCTGAAACAAGGCGAGATCATCCTGATAAATGGCAAAGCCATTTCTATCTCTGAAACTACAAACACAGGAATAAATTTGAGCTAACTCCAAATATTTTTAAATTGCAGAAGATTATACTCCCTGCAATATCATACATTTTTATTACAGGATAATGTGGAGTTGAGGATATTATCCAGCCACAAATGGCACCCGTGGCTATAAAACATTATAAGAACAAGACAACCACAAACCTCTCACAATGGAAGAGGGCAAAGTAGTTTTATGTTATCAATAATTGTACTTCCAGCAATATTATACCATGCAATTAGATACATTTTGCAAACAGCAAGACTTGCTACTTCTTTGGCTTCAGTCTACTGGATCTTCATATGGTGTGGTTCCAGTCCCAAGGGAATTCCACCTCAATGTCTTCCCCACTATATTCCCAATCAGCTTCTTCCTGATACCACCCATTGGAGCTGTAACCCCAAGTCTTCTTAAAGATCTGCTCCACCCTTGTTCCCACAAATTCCCATCTTTTTGATGCTTCAAAAGCTGATCCTGGCAGTCTCAGGGCAAAGAGTAAATTCACTGATTGCAGCTCCTCCAGTAGGAAACCCATAAACAAAAGGGCCCACATGGGAGATAGAATCAGGAGAGGCAATCACAATAATGAACTGAAGGAGAACTAACTGACATGGAAGTGGGGAGCTGGATTTGTTGATAGAAACAGCAGAAATCGTTGCTTCACGACCCAGAAGACAGCTGCCATAAGTCAGTGTGTTAAGTTTGGAGATGATGCATTTCCTTTCATGCAATCGACTCACAAACACACTGAAAGTCCCAACCCTCATGTGCATATTCACACCAACATGCCCACAAACAACGAGCATACCAAAACAGGAGAAAGACCAACATTTTAAGGAAACAGCACTGAGTCCACTTCACAAGACTGGAGGAAAATATTTCTTCTTACTCTTGGTGTGGAATAGCAATGCTAAGTAGCAGACCACTTACAAAATTGACCTCGACAAATTTATCCAATTTATTCAAAGTTACAAGAGATTAAAACAGTCATCAAGCAGAGCCCAAGTTGGGAGCTAGGGTCCCCAGCAATCCCAGGAGCTGACACTTATTTTCAGATTCTCAAATCAATTCCATTGCTATTTTCAGTCGAGAACTGGACAAGAATTGAGGGGCTCCTTGCTTCATTCATTGGTGTAAAAGGTGCTTTGGTTGTTTGCAATTTAACATTTAAGGCCTAAAATATTATATGCTTATACAAACATTGCTCACACTAATTTAGTTGATACTGAAGCATCAGATTCTATCTCATTCCATGTACTCACACCTTTGACCTCTGCTGAGAACTACTTTTAACAAATTTATCTCTTGAACAATCAAATAAAAGCATAACACTGGAATCCGAAATTTCCCTTTTACACGGGCAAAACAGAACACAAACTCGGTGACTGCTTTGCGGAATGCCTCCATTCAGGCTATAAGAATGATCCCCATCTTCTAATTGCTTTCCATTTCAATAAACTATCCTGCTCCCATGCTAACATTTCCATCTGGCACCTGCTACAGTATTCCAATGAAGCACAATGCAAGCTGAAGGAACAACACCTCATTTTTTACATAGGCACTTTATAGCCTCTAGATTCAATGTTGAATTCCACAAGTTCAGAGCATGGTCTTGGTCATTCATTTTTCTTACCACCCTCAGCCATATCTTATTTGTGATAACAAGGTGTAGAGCTGGATGAACACAGCAGGCCAAGCAGCATCAGAGGAGCAGGAAAGCTGACATTGCCGGTCTGGACCCTTCTTCAGTTTCTTCTCTGCAGAATTTCTGTAGACAGATTTCCTCCTTTTCACACCTTCAATTACGCCCATTTTACATCTCCAGCTCTCCTTCACCACCATTACCAATCCCTTGTCTTTCGCTCTGTCCATCCTCAAGACCTGTTCCACTCAAACCTCTACCTCCTTTGTCAGCAACATAAAAATCATGATTTTCCAACCCTTTTCAGTTCTAAAGAAAATTCATATTGTACTCGAAAGACTACCTCTGTGTCTCTCTCCAGAGATGCCGCCAGACTTGTTGAGTTTCTCCAGCATGTTTTGTTTTTATATACTTTGAACAAACAGAAAAGGGATGGAGAGATGGAACTTACAGTTAAGTCATTAATGGAGACAGCAGAAACTGTTGCTTCGTGTTGCTGAAGCTGGTTGACATAAGTCAGTGTGTTAAAGTCCCAGATGATGCATGTCCTGTCACGAGATCCACTCACAATCACATTGTAAGTTAACGACACCACCAGACAAGTAACGGCTTCTATATGTCCATGAAGTACCTACAGCAAAGAATAAATAACTATTGAGACATTTCGATCTTTAATATTTTCCCCCACCTGGACAGGAAACGAATGCAAGAGTACGAACTACACCACTCTGGTGTCAGAAAAGAGAGTCTTCGGGAAGAGGGCACACCAAATTTGCAATTATTTCAAACTGTTGGTGTAATTAAATTTTAGAAATGTTTGAAAAGGAATTTTGAGAGTCAGTATCACTTGTAAAGGATCCGTTCTAATTATTGGACAATAAATGCTTCTCCACTGTGTCCTGGTGACCCTTGATCTGGAAGCAGTACCAACTGGGAGGAAGTTCATATTCAAAAGGCATACACATGAAGAGAGAAATGAATAGTTGGAAAGTTGGAAGGAAAAAGCCTGAGAGCACTAACAATTAGGCAGGCGGGTCAGAGAGTTGGATTCTTGAATGGTCAGGAACCATGCACAGAATTATTACCATAGTTTCTTTCTCTTCCAAAGTGAATGAATGCCCAGGATTGTTAATATCATGCAAAGCTAAGGCATGTCTGCTAGATACATGCCACCATAACTGATAAAAGTTGAAAATTGAGAAGGCTATGGAAGAAAATGCACCATTGTTTTCAAAATTGCATGACATTAAACTGATTGTGCACACTGCTGCCTGCGAAAAATAGGTCCTTGAAGGTAAGGGACTAGACTTCTGCTCAAGTTTGGTCTGAGCATGGAAAAGCGGTGTCTCTGACATTGATGCCGTACAGAATACTGCCTCAAACATTTGTGAAGTCTACCTTTGTTGTAGCTACTTCTCCAAACAAAATTTATATATACTAACTAAAATAACCTCTAATTTATGCTTAACTTACCTTGGTTCAGATTTGTATTAAAGTAAAAGTTGCAAGAAGTGAAATCTTGTTTGGCAATTCCTTAATTGGGGTAGGGTGGATGTCTTTTGGTGTTTTCCAGTTTACAGATCCAACTTAGTGCAGAAAATACTACACTAAGCCAAGCTGACATTTATAACATTCCAATGTCCTGATTACACTATTCAACCACATTGCAAACATGCCTATTTGTCACCAAAATACATCACTCTTAATAAATTATTTGTTTTATATTTATTTGTTGCTAAACTAAAGTCTAGCTGCGGCAAGGAAAATGTCTAAATTCATTCAAATGTTAGTCTGGGATTCTGTTGTCTATGAAATTAACATTCAGTATCCTTTAAAAAGATTTTTTATTATTCACCTTAACAACAATGAATATATATGTTTGCTTAATATTTCTGTTGGAAATCAATTAAGAACATAACAGAGATTGCACGGCTACACACCTATTAACAGAAAGTTATACTGCAATGATTAACATATGTTCGATTTCAAAAAGAACTAAAGTACAATAATTAGTTTTATTAAAAAGTTAATTTCCTGTTGTTAGTTTGTTTTCACTTTTCCATTCATCACTGAATTCCTGAAAAAGCTCTACATCTTTCTAATAAGATTATAATTACATTGGCATCAGAGAAAGTGCAACAGTCCTAGACTTGTAGCTTCCGGACCTTTCTTTGATAATTAAGGATAACTGGGGCGATTTCTGTGGAAAGTAACACAGAAAACCATGGTGGCATATAGGTTACAGACATGAATTACAACTGGACTCAGGGAACACTCCTTGTTGGCTTCATTGACCACAAACGGTGAAACCGAATGACCTTTGTGAGCTTGCCTCACTGTTCGTTTAATTTTCAGTAAAAGATTGAGTACATTTGTTTATTTCACACATATTATGGGATATTAAAGTGTACTCAACTTTGATGTGTGGATGTGTGGTGTGTGTGAGTGAGAGAGAGAGAGCTGGGGGTGGGGTAGAGGAAGAAAGAGGTAGAGAGAGGTCAATTTCACTCAGTATATATAAATTTTATTTGGAGTAGTAGCTGCAACAAAGATAAACCTTCACGGCAGTATTCTGTATGGCATCAATTTGAAAGTTCTTCCCCTGCTCAGACTAACCTTGGGCAGAATTCATGGCCTGCGTTTATTGTTCATTCCTAAAAACCCTAGAGAAAGTGGTAGTGAGCTGTCTTAAACTGCTGCAGTCCTTGGGGTGCAGGGACATTGACAATCCTGATAGGAGCAAATTACTACAAATGCTGGAATCTGTACTGAAAACTAAAAATGCTGAAAATCACAGCCAGTCAGGCAGCATCTATGGAGAGAGAGAGAGCTAATATTTTGAGTCTAGATTGCTCAATTCTAATGTAGAGTCAGCTACATTTGAAACGTTAACTTGCTCTTTCTCCATGGTTGCTGCCTGATACACTGCGATTTCCAGCATTTTTGTTTTCAGCCATCGACAATCCAGTCAGAAAGGGAGTTTCAGGATCTTGACCCAGTGATGGTGAAGGAATAGCTTCAAGTCAGGATGTTGTGTGACTTGGAGGGGAATGTGTTATAGATGGTGATGTTCCCATGTATCTGCTGCCTTTGTCCTTCTGGGTTTGGAAGGTTCTATCTAAGGAGGCTTGGTGAATTACTGCAGTGCACCTTGTAAATGCGACACAATGCTCCCACTGTGTGTCAGTGAAGGGAATGAATGCTGAAGGTGGTGAACGGGGTGCCAACCAAGTGAGCTAGCTTGCCCTGGACGGTGTCAATCTTCTCAAGTGTTGTCAGGCTGCCCCCATGTAGGCAAGTAGAGAGTATTCCATTACCCACCTGACTTGTGTTCTCTAGATAGTGGACAAGCTTTTGTTGGGACAGTAACTAAGTCATTCACTGCAGGATTCCTAGCCTCTGAACTGTTCTTGTGGCTGAAGTATTTATAATGGTGCAGCTCAGTTTCTGGTCATCGATATGTCATAGGAAGAGCAAGCAGGAAACAAAGGTCAACCAACAAGGCAGGCGAGAGAAAAGTGGTCTGACTGTCTGATTTATGTAACGGAACAAGAAAGCAGATTATACAAAGAGCAGTGAAAAACGGACGAGTTGACGGTCAGTTCATAGTTGTGCTTCAATTAGTTGTGACCCTTTGAACACAAAAATTGAAATCGACGCCATTCAAAATTGTTAATGGGTTCAGATAAAGTATAAGCTTGGGTTTTGGGTCCCAACTTCTCTGAAGGTGTGTTGCAGTGACTAATTCCTGTGTTTGCTGATAGTCACTTTGCTTTTGTAGTGTTCAGACAATGGTTAATTTATTCAAATTACTACTATTACCAACTTAACTGCTCTTTATTCTGACACCAAGTCCCTCCAGAGCTTGTGATATCAACGCAGAAAGTGCTGATGCATTCTAAGGTAGTTTCAGCCAGTCTGAAATCAGCAGCTGACCTGGAAACTGCACTTGCCGAGGCTGCAAATGGTTGGTATGTGTGAACCACCAAATCCTAAATACTAGCCAACACATTCCAGCAATACTTCAGTCAGTAAACTGTGTCCAAACATGGAAGAAAGTTTGTCCCAGGTGAGATCACGTGCAACAAAGCAGTGGGAGCATGCAGGCTAGATCAAGACAGCAGATGCAGTCTGGCAGAAAACAATAGTCACGTACCTCTTTCAACATCATGCTTTTGGCTTTGTCTTTGTTGGCTGAGATTCCCCACACACAGACAACACTGCTTGTCCCTCCGGTGATAACAGTTGTCGTGTTTGGACATGCAGCACACAGGCACTGCCCCCAGTCCGACAGACATTCAAATACAGTTAGAGTCTGCAGCAGAAATACAATATCATTTTTATTACAATGTAAGACAATCCAGTTGGTCGTCAACTCTTCAAAAATCTTGTATCACTTTGTGGTGTACAAATGACTGAAACAATAGCATTAGCCGCTTCCTGTTTCCTCCTGACACTGAAGCATAGTGTATGCAATCCCCTTTCTTGCTCAGTTTCGCAATTCAGTTCACCAGTTCTTCACCCTCTCGCCAGTTACCCAGACTGATGCTCTAGTTCCATAATGAAGGGGAGCTGCCGAGTCAGCCATACCTTCCTCCAGCTGACACCATAAACCAAAACCACATCCACCTACTCAGATGAATGTAAGTAAGCCCATAAAATTATTCAAAGGAGAGCAGGGGAAGCTCTCCCTGGTGTTAAAAGCCAATGGTTAGAGATAGCCATAGAGTAGTACAGCATGGAAACAGACCCTTCGGTCTAACACATCCATGCTGATCAGATATCCTAAATTAATCTAGTCCCATTTGCCAGAATTTGGCCCATATCCCTCTAAACACTTCCTATTCATCTACCCATCCAGATGCTTTTAAAATGTTGCAATTGTGCCAGCTTCCACCACTTCCTCTGGCAGCTCATTGTACACATGTACCACCCACTGCATGAAAAAGTTGCCCACCAGGTGCCTTTCAAATCCTTCCCCCTCACCTTAAACTATGCCGTCTATTTTTGGACTCCCCTCCCCTTGGCTATTCACCCTATCCATGCCCCTCGTGATTTTATAAATTTCTATAAGGTCACCCTTCAGTCTCCAAAGCTACAGGGAAAATAGCCCCAGTCTGTTCTGCCTCTCCCTGTCACGCAAACTCTTCATCCCTGGCAACATCCTTGTGAATCTTTTAGATCTTTGTTGTCTTAATCAACACATTCAAAAGTGATGTTCTGACTATGGCTAGTAAGTTTGCAGATGACACCAAAATTAGAGGTGTAGTCAACAGCAAAGAAGGTTTCCCCTGAGTACATTGGGATCTTGATCAGATGGGCAGAGGAGTGTCAGATGGAGTTTAATTTAGATAGCTGTGAGGTGCTGTACGTTGAAAAGGTAAATCAGGACAGCACTTATGCACTTAATGATAAGGTCCTAGGAGTGTTGCTGAACAAAGAGACCTTGGAGTGCAGGTTCATAGTTCCTTGAAAGTGGAGATGCAGGTAGATAGGACAGTGAAGAAAACATTTGGTATGCTTGTCTTTATTGGTAAGTACATTGAGTATAGGAGTTAGGAGGCCATGTTGCAGAACATTGGTTAGGCCACTTTTGACATACCGCATGCTATTCCGGTCTCCCTGCTATAGGAGGGATGTTGCAAAACTTGAAAGGGTTCAGAAAAGATTTACAAGGATGTTGCCAGAGTTGGAGGATTTGAGCTGAATAGACTGGGGCTATTTTCCCCAGAGCATTGGAGGCTGAGGGGTGATCGTATAAATGTCTATAAAATCATGAGCGACATGGACAGGGTAAATAGACAAGGTCTTTTCCTCAGGGTGGGGGAGTCCAAAACTAGAGGGCATAGGTTTAAGGTGAGAGGGGAAAGATTTAAAAGAGACCTAAGGGGCATTTTTTTTCATGCAGAGGGTGGTGTGTGTATGGAATGAGCTGCCAGAGGAAGTGGTGAAGGTTGGTACAATTACAACATTTAAAAGGCATTTTAATGGGTATATGAATAGGAAGGGTTTAGAGGGATATGGGCCAAAAGCTGGTAAATGTGTCTAGATTTATTTAGGATATCTGGTTGGCATGGACGAGTTGGACTGAAGGGTCTTTTTCAGTGCTGTATATCTCTATGACTCTATTACTAGATATCAACCTGCGTTTTTACCTTGAGACACTATTGTGTTAATTTACATCCAATGAATACTTTCATAAACACTAGTTAACTATCTCCAATTAAACTACAAATCTAATTCAGTATTCCTTGAATAAATGCTTACATTTATATATGGTTGTTTACAATCTTAGGATTCCTAAGGGGCTCGACAAGGTAAATGCTGAAAGGATGTGTCCCCACATTGGGAGAGTCTAGGACCAGACAGCATAGTCTCAGAATAAAGTGGTGCCAATTTAAGACTGAGATGAGGAGGAATTTCTTCTCTCAGAGATTTGGGAGTCTTAGGAACTCCTTGCGCAGAGGGCTGTGGGGGCAGAGTCCTTGTATAGATTTTGTGCTAAGATAGAGAGATTCTTGATCAGGACTGAGATCAAGGGTTACGGGGAAAGGGCAGGAAAGTAGATGTGAAGAATGTCAGATCAGCTACGATCTTACTGAAAAGCTGAGTGGACTTGAGGGGGTGAACAGCCTACTCCTGTTTCTATTTCTTATGGTCTTATGGACCTTGGCACATCCAAAAGCACATAATGGTCATTAAGGCATTGTTTGAAGAATAGTTATTGCTTTAATACAAGAAATATGGCAGCAAATTTGCACACAGAAAAATCTGAAAACTAGCAATGAGCTAATATCCAAATAATCTGCTTTAGTCGTCAATTTTTAATTATCTTATTGAGATATGACCACTTGAGAGGACAGACAGGACCTTGATTTAACATGTCATCTAGAAGAAGGGTTGAACAATCCTGACTTTGAGCTAGTCACAACATCACATACCTTCTCAGCACCATAGTTCCCCAGAGCGCAGCTGAAGTCATCATATCCCCAGCAAAATAATTTGCTCCAATCTGGTGGTATCAGCAATTTATTCTTCTCCACAGCAAGAACACCCTTGTCCGTGTGTACAATATGTCCAACAGCTCCTTTCAATTGCTCTGTGTGAAATAGGTTGAGTAAAACATTATGGGAGAGGAATAAGATGTTATATTCCACATGGTGATGGAAACAAGTGGAGCAAACCTTATATACATTAATTTACAATGATGCATATCGCAATCCTGCGCCTCCCAACCATTTCCATTCAGTTTCTTCTCTATAGTGAATCCCCAGTTAACATACATTACTCAGTTCAATTAGCTTTAATTGAATTGAATGAGCTTTATTGTCACATGCACTCAAACGAGTACAGTGAAAAGTTCACTTGCCGCATTACAGCGCCAGACTCAAATGCAATTCTATACAATAAACATAGAATCCTACAACGCAACCGCTAATATGCTTACTTTTATAAGTGTAGAGTACTTTGAAATATCATGAAAAACACTACATAAATGCAAGCCTTTCTGTTTTACGGTTACACAGGGGATTGTTGAAGAGAGTTGGAACACTGTCCCCAATGTACTGTGGTACTGGGGAAACAAGGACGCAGTTTGCCCTGCTCCGAACCGGGATAATGACCATTGGGAAGAGATATCATGGGGACAGCTTTCTCCCTAGTGCTTGCCTCCAATCACTGCAGGTGCTGCCCCATGGGTCAGATTCTCACCTGCCTTCTCAACAATCATTGGGTCCACCTTGAGGGGCCCAGACCACAGGAAAGTTCATGGCATCACTGAAGTTGAATAAATTCTCTATTTTACATCTAATAGTGATGCCATGTTTTCTTTCTGCCTGTATACAACCCTCTGTTGCTTGATGGGTGACATATTCCAAAGACCACACTTTTTGGCTTGGCCTTTTGCTCCCATCAGCTCCTGACAGCACTAAACCAGGTTGGGTGCACTTTGATGTGATAGTTCCCCAAGTGGTCTTTCTCCATTCAGTAGCATGGACAATGAGTGCTACATGCCCGGTGTTAAGACATCACACCATATACAGATAACATTACTGGGTAATGATTACAATGGTAACACCACTCGAGTGATCTATGAGTGTGACCTACCAAGTCACTTTGTGTGGCTAATACTTGTTGAATCAGTTTTATCTGTCTAAACATTAACATGAAATCAGCTAAAATCACTCCTTAGAAGGGGTGGGGGAGAATGGAGCCATTGTTTGCAAGCAACTGCACCCTGAATGAGTTTCACTGATCAGTTTACAGTCAGTTGACAATGTCCAGCATTGTCAAAGACAGACATAACCAGACTCATAGATCTATACTTTAAATACCTTTCACACTAGAGGACCTCAGATTTGGCAAGTGGTAGAAGAAGGGCAGGGTGGCAGGTGAAGAGGCAGCAGAGTCCTTTCCTGAAGAGTGCTTTCCTTGGACATTCCGTGCAGGATGAGCTTTAGTGAACAGCTGAAAAAGAAAGCCGCCATGAATCTCTTTATCTTACAAAGCATGAGACACGTTCACTTGCTGGCCTTTCTATCTAACTGACGTCATGTGGAATGGAGATGAGCTCTCAGAAATAACTTGTAGTCACTCACACTGGATATAAGCAATCTGCCAAAACATCTACTGTATGTTTCCAATCTCTGAATGGACACAATCTGGGCAAATGTTTGAGTTTCTCTTGTCAAAACTCCTAAATAAAGGCCCTTAGCTCCTTGGGAATCAGTTATGCTGTACTTCCTGTACTGGTACAACATTGGGTTCTCATTGCAATAAGCCAAGAGCTGTAATGTACATGATGTCATATGAATAAGGAGCAGGAGTAGACCATTTGGCCCCTCAAGCCTGTTCCACCATTTGATAAGATCATAACTGACCTGATCATGGCCTCAACTCTTCCCTGTCTACCCACTTGCTGTGTATTAGCTTCCTATGTTGGAGTAGGCAGGAGGGGATGGGGTTGGGGTTGGGTTGGGTTGGGGATGGTGTAGAAAACTGAAATTTTAGGCTTGCAGGATCTGCCACTGAATTCTGACCCAGTGAGCAGCTGAGAAACAACTTTAAATCCTGGGGATTTTCCTTTCAAGAGTTTGAGGGAGTGAGAGATTGAGGGAGAGAGAAAGAGAGACAGAGAAACAGACTGAGAGGCAGAGAGAGAGAGAGAAAGAGAGAAAGAGAAAAACAGATTGAGAGAGAGACAGACAGACAGACAGAACATATGGAGATATCCTCTGCAGACCAGACAGAATAATTTAATATAAAGAAAGCCGTAGCTGCCAGGCAGTAGACGTTGAGGGACACATACTCCATTGTGAGAGGCCCATCTGTCCAGCAAGAACATTCCAGTCAGCACAAGTGAAAATCTGTAATAAGTTGCTTAATCCCGTCAATTGCACAAGTAGTAGGTAATTGTTCAACCTGTTCACCTCCGAAATGGCTCATGAGCAGTGCAGTAGCAATGGAAGCTTTGGGGCCTGCTCTCCTTCAGTGCACCGTACCCCTCCCATCCCCAAAGCCTGTGAAAAATCCCAGCATTAATTGCAGCCTTTTAAAAAAAAAAAATATCATAAAAAGACCAGCACTTGTTGCCCATCCATAATTGCCCTTGAGAAGTTGGTAGGGAGTTCACATGATCCATTAAAATGTGAGGCTCCAACTGAAAGATAACTTGACATTCCACAGTGTTGATGATGAAATCAGAATTATCCATCTGCTGTCAACCCCACTGCTTCAGCGTGGAACAGCCTTTAGATAGCCAATTGGGAATCTTGGACACAATTTTAAATTTAGTATTGCTGAGAAAAAGGAAAACTCACTGTCAAACTGTGCTCTCATCAGGACAGAATCACAAGAATACCAAATCTCCAAGAGAACAACCATTTATACTGCATGAAAAGAGGGTGCTGATTTGATTGGAAAGATATAGCAAGTGGTGATATCAGATTGACTGGCCATTATACAGTCTCCTAAATGTATTATTCCATTGATTTTTAAAAATTTATTGCCAGCTGGCCAGGATTTATTGCCCATCCCTAGTTGCCCTTCAGAAGGTGGTGGTGAGCTGCCTTCTTGAACTGCTGCAGTCCTCCTGCTGTGGGTTGACCCACAATGCCATTAGGGAGGGAATTTCAGGATTTTGACCCAGTGATACTGAAGGAACGGCGCTATATTTCCAAGTCAGGACGGTGAGTGGCTTGGAGGGGAACCTGGAAATGGCAGTGTTCCCAAATGTCTGATGCCCTTGTCTTTCTAGTTGGATGTGGTTGTGGTCTTGGAAGGTGCTGTCTGAGGACCTTTGCTGAATTTCTACAGTACATTCTGTTGATATTACATACTGCTGCTCCCAAATTTTGGTGGTGGAGAGAACGGATACTTGTGGATGTAGTACCAATCCAGCCAGCTGCTTCTTGAGTGTTATTGGAGCTGCACCCAGCCAGGCAAGTAGGGTGTATTCCATCACACTCCTGAATTGTGCCTTGTAGATGATAGACAGGTTTTGGAGAGTCAGGAGATAAATTACTCGCTGCAGTATTCCCAGCCTCTGACCTGCTCTTGTAACCGTTGTGTTTATGCAGTGAGTCTAGTTGAGTTTTTTGTCAATGGTGACCTCCCAGGATGTTAATAGTCAAGGATTCAGTGATAGTAACATCATTGAATGTCAAGCCGGGGGGGGGCGGGGGTGGTGGTGGCTGGATTGTCTCTTTTTGGAGATAATTATACCTTGGCATTTGTGTAGCATGTATATTACTTGCCACTTCCCAACCTAAGATTAGATTTTGTCCAGATCTTGTTGCATTTGACCATGGACTGCTTCAGAACCTGAGGGGTCACAATGGTGCTGAATATCCTGCAATTATCAGCGAATATCCTTTTTCTGACCTTATGATGGAGGGAAGGTCATTGATACAGTAGCTGAAGATGGTTGGGCCTAGGACATTACCCTGAGAAACAGCTGCAGAGATGTCCTGGAGCTGTAATGACTAACCTCCAATAACCACACTATCTTCCTTTCTGCCAGGTATGACTACACCAGTGGAGAGTTTGCTCCTTGATTCCCATTGATTCCAGTTTTGCTAGGGCTCCTTGATATTGGGTAGTCAATCCATTATCACACATTTTTACAGCATTACTTCAAGTAACATTTACTTTCTTCTATCCCATCCTGCGGCTAACATTATTTAAAGTCATTCCCGACATTCTCCTGGATAAATTTCAATCCCATAAGAAAGAAGTTGTCTGATATAAACAACAGAAGAGTTCCCAAGATGTTTGTGTCTTCCGGCACTTACTCACCAACAAACTCCTGATACGAGATGAGCAGAATGATTAAAATTTCTTCAGAGCTGCTCCTGCTTCATTATTGTAACTTTGACAGTACTATAGCAGAAAATCCCACTGATGTGTGAAAATGGGGTTTCTAATACAACCCAATAACATCCCAGCAATGGAGCACGAGAAGCCCCAGGAGATTCCTAGTCAAAGTCCCCTTGCTTTCTGGCAAATTCTTTTTTTCCACATTAATGGGTGTGCGATGTCTCAAAGTCAGTCTCCCTTTAACAGCCATACTCAAGATATCAACCCTATGTCATACCATGTGACCTGAGGGTATAAAGTTCACATACTCCACCTCACCCTGGGGTCACTTGAAGCGTGATATGCTACTAAAAGCATGCTCCTCAGTTGTAATGTAACCGTTTAGTATTATCCCAAACAGCAACGTGTCTGTGAATGTAATGTTTTTACATAAAAGTCAGTTGGAATAAATATCTGTTACATTCTTCAATACCACAGTATCCATGCCTTGTTTATGGTACAAGGGATAACATAGGCAGTGCCACATCAGGTAAAATACCCTGCTGCAGGCAAACTCACATCATTTAGTTTCCGTCTTTTAAGCATAGACCAGTGCACAAGAAAACACCAGTTAATACTTAGAAATCAAAAGACTCTTCAAATTTGGAACAAAAACAGAAGTTGCTGGAAAAGCTCAGCAGGTCTGGTAGCACGTGTGAAGAAAAACATTAGTTAACTTTTCGGGTCCAGTGACCCTTCCTCAGGACCGTTCTGTTCTTCCTCAGTTCTGAGGAAGGGTCACTTGACCCGAAACATTAACTCTTGAGTTTTTTTTTCACAGGTGCTGCCAGACCTGCTGAGCTTTTCCAGCAACTCTATTTTTGTTCTTGAACTACAGCATCCGCAGTTCTTTCGGTTTTTCTTTAAACTTATACCTGTTTAGGGATCTGCCCAAAGTTACTGACAAAACCCATGATGGTAGTCTTTTTCAAAGGGTCTTTGATGCTACGGAGATCAACCTGGTCATCGTAGAAGTAAGGATGGAAAACATTAATAGCTTCAACTGCTGCTGAACCCTGCTGCTTGTAACCAAATATTAAGTCTATCCAGTGATGGAGATGAGCAGAGACATAATCACTTTCCAAAGCCTACAGGGAGAGAAGAGACAAGAAAGTATCCGTTTAGTCTTTAAACATCACTCTATTTCAGCCTGGCTTTCATTTTCACTTTATTAATGTCAATGACGTAATTTCAAAACTGCCTTCTGTTTGTTTGTTCATTTCTGAAAAGCCATTTTTAAAGGTACTGTTGTGTTATCCTTAAGGGATCACACTTATTCCAAAATTAGATGCTTCTAACATTACATAAGCAGTGTTTTAGAGATAGTAGGAACTGCTGATGCTGGAGAATCCGAGACAACAAGGTGCAGGGCTGGATGAACACAGCAGGCCAAGCAGCATCATAGGAGCAGAAAGGCTGACGTTTCGGGCCTAGACCCTTCATCAGAAAAGCTTTAAGCAGTGTTTTATATGGCTTTGGGTGAAGTCGGCATTATAGGGCCATTAATTCAACTCTTTCCCAAGTACTTAGCCAATTATTTGGTAGGTTGAAAGATGGAGTGTTGCATTTGCAAATTATAATTATAATGAAATTTTAGATGTATGCCCAATCTGCCTATTCAGATGAAAGTAAAGTCATAGAGTCATGCAGCATGGAAACAGACCCTTCAGTCCAACCTGTCCATGCTGATCATAATCCTAAACTAAACTAGTACCATCTGCCTGTGCTTGGCCCATATCCCTCCAAACATTTCTTTTCCATGTACTTATCCAAATGTCTTTTAAATGTTATAACTGTACCCGCATCCACCACTTCCTCTGGAAGTTCATTCCACACACGAACCACCCTCACTGAAAAGAATTGCCTCACGTGTCTTTTTTAAATCTTTCTCCTCTCACCTTAAAAATATGCACCCCTAGTCTTGAAATCCCCTACCTTAGGGAAAAGATACTTGCCATTCACCTCATCCATATCCCTGATGATTTTGTAAACCTCTGTACGATCATCCCTCAACCTCCTACACTCCAGTGTAAAGAGTCACAGACTATCCAGCCTCTTCTTATAACTCAAACATTCCATTCCTGGCAACATCCTGGTAATTCTCTTTTGAACCCTCTCCAGTTTAATAATATCCTTCCTACTATTCTATCTGAGGAAAAGCAGGAGAGTTCTCCTGGTTTTCTAGCCAATGTTCATATCTCAACTGACATCTTTAAAATGAATGACCTAATTTCCTGTTCGTCAACCCAAAATGTCTGCCACATTTCTTTGTGACTATGATTGCAAAGTAATTTATCAGATATGAAAGTTTTAATTAAGTACATGTTCTTTTCTTCCTTCTTAAATATGATGTGCCAGGAGCAGACCTAGTAGTAGACTAGTACTGTCTCTGAATGTAAAGCTGTGTCTGAATAATAGTTTCATTGTGACTGTCTGTGGCCACCCTAACCACTGCATTCAGGAACTGCTGTTAATATCTGGTCAACTAAATATTGCAGTGAAGAATCCTTAGTAAAACTAAAAGGAAGGTGGAAGGGCTATCACACTGCATTATTACCTATGCATCTACCCAAACGCAACCCAAGATTGTTGTGCATGGAACTCTACTTCCCAACACCATATTGCCTGATGCCCTTAACGTAACTAAACAGACAAGGGGATAGTGGGAAAAACTGGTCACAAAAGTAAGTTTTAAGAAGTTCCTAGAACAAGGTAGAGGAGTGGAGTGGTTTAGGAAGGGAAGGGAGGCTTCTTTAGCTAAAAACAAGGTGGGACAATCAAAATCAGGAACCTACTTAGCCCAGAATTGGAGACACACTGATCTCCTGCAGGGGTATAACATTGCTTGGAAAAGTTTGGTTAGGTGGCGGAATTTTGACACACCAGACATTAAGTACTTTTAACAAGGAACCTACAGTTACAGTAATTTCAGATACAAATACGCACGTTGTTTCTATGCTCCACAACAAACATAAGATCAAAGGTTCTTTGCAGTAGAAGGATCAAGTAGCTTCCATGATGTTAATTTTGTACAGTTAATATTGATCGATGGGTGAATGACTGACTCTGTGTAGCCTATTTGAAAAGAACACAGGAAATTCCAGTTTGCAGGCTAAGGTTAGACAACACCAGCATTCTCCCAGTGGCTTGAGCCTAGATCTCTGATATGTCCACGTAATGATAGTAAATTGACCAAATTCATCATGGAATGCTATTACTCAGGTTTTCTCTTCCATTTGAATAAATATTTCTTTCCTGTCTACAGTAATCTCCAATGACATTTTGTGTAATTTCCCTTCATAAAGTGAGCACCCATATTCTTTTCCTTTGAAATCCTGGACTGCCCCCAGTTTTGCACCCCTCAGGGTCAAGGTAGGCTTCAGTTCCAAAGTGCTCAAGCAGTCACCATCAATGGGCCAGTTAAGCCATGAACTCCTTACATTTGTAGTGCAGATTTGTGCTGGATTATCGCAGGTTTGATTTCAACGTAAGCTGCAAGGAGGACACAAAGAGGATGCAAAAAAAATAGTCAGGTTAAATAAAAAGCTAAGAACAAGGCAGATGGAGTATTATGTGGGGATGTGCTAAGTTATTTACCAAATTAGAGAAGCAGCTGAGAGATTTGAACCACCTCCAAGCTGGTTAGTTGAAAAATCATGATTATAGCTAATGGTAAAACTGTATTTGAGGGGGGATTTGCATTTCATTTATCATATTTTTTTTAACAAGAATAACAAGGCAGATTATTATTTAAAAGGCATGAAACTTGTAAATATTAATATTTGGAGAAAACTAGACGGGAAGCACAGAAAGTTGGCATATCGGTACAGCGTGCAATTGGAAAGGCAAATGATATATTCACCTTTATTGCTAGGGGAATGGAAGAATAAGGAATTGTTGCTACAGTTTTACAGAACTTTTTGAGACCACACCTGAAGTAATGTACATGGTTTGGTCTTCATGTCTGAGGAAGGATATAGTTGCACTGGAAGTGATGGAGAAGATTTACTAGATTGGTTCCTGAGGTAAGTGGGCTGGCTGCTAACAGAAAAACTGGATCTATATTCTCATTGAAAGATACAAGATCCTGAAGGACCTCAACAGGTTAGACACAGAAAAGTAGCTTCCCCCTAGCTGTGGAATCTGGAACACGAGGGCTGAGCCTCATTAAGGAGTGAAATGAGGCAAAAATCGCTTCTCTGAAATGATTGTAATCCTTCAGAATTCCCTACTCCAATGGGTTGTGGATGCTCCATTTTTAGGTATGTCTGGGGGAGGCAATGGCCGAGTGGTATTATCCCTGGACTGTTAATCCAGAGACCCAGATACTGTTCCGGGGACCTGGGTTCAGATCCCATCATGGCAGATGGTAGAATTTGAATTCAATAAAAAGAAACAAAGTCTGGAATTAAGAGCCTGATGGTGACCATGAATCTATTGTCGATTGTTAGAAAAAGCCCATCTGGTTCACTAAAGTCCTTTAGGGAAGGAAAGTGCCATCCTTTCCTGGTCTGGCCTACATGTGACTCCAGAACCACAGTAATGTGGTTGACTCTTAACTGCCCTCTGGGCAATTAGGGATGAGCAATAACTGCTGGCCTACTCAGTCAAGCTGTCATCTCATGAATGAATAAAAAGCATTTAAGTATGTGAGGTAGACAGATTTTTGACTTCTTAGGCTCTCAAGCGATATAGGGAACAGGCATGAAGGTGCAATTGAGGCCAAAGGCCATCCACGATTGCATTAGATGGCGGACATGACTCGATGGGCTGAATGACCAACTTCTGCTCTTACGTCTTATGACCAAGGATCGTCCATGATCGGATCAGTTGCTGGTGCAGGTTTGTATATGATTAACTCCAGCAGCTCTCTTGTTCTTATGCGCTCTTTGTTCTTAGGTTACCATCAAATTAGAGAGGCAACGGACCCATTTGAACTATATCCAAGTTGAACAGTTGAAAAATCATTCTAATATAGCTAATGGTACAATTGTATTTGAAAGAAGATTTGCATTTCAAATACACCTTTCATGAACTCAAGACCTCAAAGCGTTTTAGCCAATGAAGCCTGTTTTCTTTAAAAAAAAGTACATTCACTGTCATCGTGCAGGAAACAATTTATGCTAACCAGATTGGGCTCTGCTATGACGCTCCAGTAGTTGAACGTCCTGCTGTTACAACTGTCTAGACAAAAAGAACGGTTGTATAATTGAAGTATTGGAGAGTTGCCAGCACCCATGGAAACAGATTGCAGAGTGAGACGCTGCCTTTTAGAGTTGAAAAAAAGTAAGAGAAATCAGACGGGTAAAAATAACATCCCAATAAGGCTGTAGTTTTGGCCAAGATAAGCTGGATGTTTTGAATTGAACAAGTGCCAAACATAAAAGTATAATTAACAGTCATAATGAGGCCACCAGGAGAAGGGATATCATGTAGGAATGGTACTGCACAGCAACTGAATTATTGTATAAATTTCAAAAGTGTGAGTTCTGAGCTACCTTTACTTCTCTAACTCTACCAGTTGCACCTTTCTTAGAAATTAGACACGCTTCATATCTGTTAAATATTTAATTTCTTTACTTATTCATGAAATCTGCTCATTGTCAACATGGACACCATTTATTGCCTGTCTCTATTTGCCCTTGAACTGAGTGACTAGCTGGGGCCATTTCAGAGGGCAGTGCTGTGGGTCTGGAGTCACACATGGGCCAGGCCAGGTCAGGATGGCAGATTTCCATTCCTAAAAGCCATTAGTAAACCGGATAGATTTTTACTGCAATTAATGTTTCACACCACCATTGCCGAGACTAGCTTTTTAAGGGCAGGCAATGGCCTAGTGGTGTTATTGCTGAGCGTTAATGCAGAGACCCAGCTACTGTTCTGGGGACCTGGGTTCGAATCCTGCCATGGCAGATAGTAGAATTTGAATTCAATAATTTAAAAAAAAACTTCAATTAGGAGTCTAATGATGACCATAACTCCATTGTCAATTGTCAGGAAAAACCCATCTGGTTCACTCATGTCCTTTAGTGAAGGAAACTGTTGACCTTACCAGGTCTGGCCTACATGTGACTCCAGACCCACAGCA